AGAGGCTTCAAGACCCTGGTGAAGGTTTGCCCAGAGTCAAACCAAACCCCGGGGTCTGGAGGAGGGGAGCGCTCTAACACACTTAGGCAGTGTGGTGCTCAACCCTGACAGCTCCTTTCGCATCTGCGGAATAAAGGCCTGACAATTGCCTCCCATAAAGCTTAGGGCCCAGAAAACCCTAGGAAACGTTCTCCTAGGCAATGCGAAAGGTCGCCCTAAGTTACAACCAACTTGGTGGCGACTGGTTAAGTTCTAGTTTGGGGAACTTTGAAACAGACTCTTAGGAGCCCCTGGACAAATTAGATCTGGAACACTGGAGGCAGAGGCTTGGGTACCAGGCGCTGGCATTTTATAACCTTCCTGGGTTGTTGCCAGGGTCAAGAACACTTCAGTAGGTGGAAAACCCCTCAAACCACGCCCAGGCCGGGGGTGGGGGGCGCTGTCCCAGCATCAACACTGCCCATGCTCACCAGTCCCCGCCCCCTCCCCTGCGGCTTGGAAGAGGCAAGCTCTTATCTCTCCAACAGTGGGTGCAGGTTCCGGGGAGACCCCAACCCTCCGTGTGCCCAGGGCCCTCGTCCGGGCCTGACTACTGGGTTGGATGGACCACCGGCTCCCTGCTCTTGCCCCGGTCCCCACCTGTATGTCTTGCCCTCCTTGGCGGTTTCGCCCGAGGCCAAGATGGGGTAGGGGACGACGAGGACAGGTGGGCCCCCTGGGTTCTCCGCCTTGATCTTTTTGCGGCCGCGCTCGGACTTGGGGGGGCCAAGCAGGCCATGGCCCTGGATTGTCTTGATGGAGTCCAGGAGGGGGGGGCTGGTGATCCCTGAGATGAGGGTGGGGGACGAGGCGATGAGGCGGCTCTGGCTGGTGGTGGTGGGTGTGGACGGGGTGCTGGTACCCGTGCCTGCGCTGGACTCAGAGGTGCTCACTGCCGGGGTCCGGGAAGAGAGGCCCAGACCTACGGAGACACAAGGGGAGGAGACCAGCCTGAAGGCAGCTGAGAGGTCACCTTGGCCCTGGGTCCCGGCCAGACCCACCCACCTGTGTGCCCCGGGCACCCTCGTCAATTGCCCAGGGAGATTAATTGAATGTGGTTAGTGGAAGGTGCCCCACATGCGGTGGGGTACACAGATCCACGCAACAAAGGCGCTGGGAAATCATTCAGACCCCAGAAAACACGGGCGTGGGGTGGGGGTGGGGCGCAACGATGTTCACTGCTGTTACTTATGAAAAAAAAATAGACAACTGAAATCATCCACGTTAGGCAAGGGGGTTAGTTAGCACATAGCGATCAATCTCTCTTCAACCACCTGCTAAAAAGGAAGTTATCTTTTTTCCAACTTTTTATTGATTTAAAATTTTACAGAAGCTCCTCCTTTGGTCCCGTGGATCTGTGTCTTGCTTCACCAAGAAAAGTGGATGGAGTGAGACGTCAGACAGTGTAAGATATTGCAAAATAATAATTTA